ACTGCTTCCCATGTCATTCACTGCTTCCCATGTCATTCACTGCTTCCCCGTGTCATTCACTGCTTCCCATGTCATTCACTGCTTCCCATGTCACTCCCTGTTCCCCATGTCACTCTCTGTTTCCCATGCATCCCATGTCATTTCACCATGTCTCCCTGTTTCCCAATCCCCGTTGTTTCCCCTTTCTAACATTTTCACTATACATCCTTGTTACCCCATGTCCCCTTCTTTTACCTTGTCTCCCTGTCACACCTTCTTTCTCCATACCTTTCTCTTTCACCTTGTCTCCCTCTTTCACCGTACTTCCTTGATTCCACAGCTATCCCTGTTTCCTCATGCCATGCCATCCTGTTTGCCCATGACTCCCCCTTTCCCCATATCCCTGATTTCACCAGGTCTCGCCTTTCCCACGAGAATCCCCATTTCCTCGTGTCCCCTTGTTGCCCCATGGCATTTCTTGTTTCCCCATGCTTCACGGTTTCCCCATGCCTCCCTATTTCACCGCGTCTCCCTGTTTTCCCATGCCTATACGTCCTAGTTTCCCCATATCCCCTAGTTTCCGCATATCTCCCTGTTTCATCGTTCCTCCCCTAATTTCTTAGGCCACTCCCTGTTTCACCTTACCCCACTGTTTCACCATGTCTCCCATGTTTTCCCATGTCCCCTTGTTTCCCCACGTCCCCTTGTTTCCCCGTGTCCCCTTGTTTCCCCGTGTCTCCCTGTTTCACCATACTTCCCTGATTCCCCATGTCTCCCTTTTTCCCACGCCTTCCTGTTGTACCATGTCTTCCTCTTTCCCCAGGTCTCCCTTTTCACCATGTCTCCATGTCTCTCATGCCTCCCCAAGTCTTCTTGTTTCCCAACATCTCTGTGTTTCCCTATTCTTTTCTTGCCTTCATCTCTGTGTTTATCCGCCATGTTTCCCCTTTTCACATGCCTCCCTATTTGAGGGTGTCTCCTGTCATAGCTCCCTATTTTTTTTCCTTTTCTCCTGCTTTACAATTACTCCTTGTTTCACCATGGCTCTTGTTTTAAGCCTATGCCACCCTGTTCCCCCGTGCCCCTCTATTTCCACATGTCTCTCTGTTGTAAAACTCTTTTCCTCGTGTCCCCCTATTTCCCCATGCCTCACTGTTTCCATGTCTTACTGTTTCACTATGCTCTGTGATTCCCCACGCATCCCTTCTTCACAATGCTGTCTTGTTTCCCCATGCTTCCCCGCTTCCCCATATCCCCTTGTTTCCACATATCTTCCTGTTTCCCTGTTTTCCCATATCCCCTTGGTTCCCCATGTCACCCCATGTCACCCCATGTCACCCCATGTCACCCCATGTCGGCCCATGTTTCTCCATATCGCTCCATGTTTCCCATGTTCACCACAAAGGGTGTTGCCGGAAACCTATAACCAGAGATGCGTAACCCCTTGCAGGAAAACCTAGGGAAACAAGAAGAAACTCGGTAATAAGGAGACATCGTGAAACCTCTTTCCTCTTCTCTTGCGATCTCCCCAGGCTCCCCATTTTCCCCATTCTCCTCTCTTTCCACATATTCGTCGGTTTCCCCAACTTTCCCTTGTCCCCCATTTCTCTATCGCTCCCCATGTTTCCCCTTGTCTCCCATTTTCAACAAACTCCCTTGATTCCCAAATCTTCTCTTATTCCCCATGCCTCCCTGTTTCCCCATGTCTCCCAACCTCCCCACAATTTCCCTTTTCCCCAAGTACGGTATTCTAAGATTCGCCAATTCAAACACCTCCACGATTTTCTGAAAATTTTCGTACACTGCTCCTGAACAAAATGTGTTACGATAAGTGCTTAACATACAATTTAACATAATAGAATAGACTAGATAAAAAGCAACGTTATGGCTAAAATTAGGATGAGAAATTCAAGATCAATAACGGCACGGAAAAAGGGTACGCTCATGCCTTCTCTTGAGTTTGGTTTATGCGCATTTGGTAAAAGACAATAAGTAGGGTATGAGGTGAAAGTTTCAGATTGTGCTTTCATCTGTTTGACAGAATCTAAAACATAAACCAGCACGCCTATAACAGAATCTGACAGTACGATCAGTGAAGAAATATGTGGGGGTTTTAGCTTGGCGGGAAACTTGGTATGGCTGGCTGGCTTCGGCTTGGTTCGCTTATGGTTGAGAACCTCAAAGTTCGGAGTAAGCCTCAACTGGAGGGATTCGCTCCGAGCCTCTGCGCTCAAACTGGGGGGCTATCTAACCAAACCACCGCCTCTTTGAACCTAAACAGCAGCGCAAACAGGGTTACAGGAGCGCACCAACAACCAGCGATAACATCGGATGCGGGCAGCCTCGCGATATTGGCTTGGGAACAAGTCGCACATCTCCTCGAAACCCTACCCAACCGCTCTAGAGTGACCGCGAAATCGGAGGGTGTCTGAAAATAAGTAGTTCGGTTTACTTCCTCGTTCATTCAGTTCGACATGGCCTCATACTATCCGCCGTTTATTTCCGCACTGAGCTTTTGGAAGAACAGCGAGAAGCAGGCAAGATCGTGCCTTGAGCCGCTGTTTACCAACAACAGCACGAATCTCACCGCTACAACGCCAATGCTGCTCGAGCTGCTGCCGGTGACGTCGGATGCTACAGGAGTGTCAGACGCTGAAGCGAAGCATGCTGAATCGTCGCATGCTGAAGCGTCGCATGCCGAAGCATTTGATGCTGCAGCTGCGGATGGTGAACCACTTGATCATGCAGCTGCGGAAGCGAAACTGACAGATCTTTCAGCGCAGGACGCTGAAGCCTCGAATGCGAAATTGTCGGATGCAGCAGTCCCTATCGTTGCAACACCGCATGCCGCGGCATCAGATCCGCTCGTTTCACCTCCGACGGTTCTGTCTTCGGCGGCTTGCGCCAAGTTAGTAATCACGGTCGCATCGCGCATCCCGAAACCGAGCAAGGGAGCAGCGATTAGGAGGCGAGTGGAGGGAACGACACTGATTTTCAGGCCTAAATGTGCCGCACCGCACAGGGAGGTGAGGGGAGTGGAGGTTGAAGCTGCAGGCAAGCGGCCTCGCAGGACGTCCAAGGCCGTGCCGGCTGCAATCCCACGCCGGCCATGGCGCCCTTGACTGCTGCACGCATGGAAAGAAAAGAAGGGAAAATATGGGAAAAAAAAAAAAGCTATCTCCGAAATCTTTCAAAATAAAAATGATGAAAATGGAGGTTGAAAAGAGGAGAGCTTGGGGTATGAGATGGAGGGATGGCATGAAAGGCATGTGAAAGGCACAGCACAGCTACACGCCGAGAGCACCGACTGGGGGATGGGTGTAATGTGGATGGGGAACACGGTGGCACTACCCTTTTTTGCGCCCTGCTTCACAGCAGGGTGTTTGTGGGAGTGTTGATGGCTGGAGGGGGTGAGGGAAAGCTGTTGTGCTGCTGTGCCTTCAATGACACCTCCAGGCTTGAGCGCTCCTGACGGATGGCTCCAGGCTTGAGCGCTCCTGACGGATGGCTCCAGGCTTGAGCGCTCCTGACGGATGGCTCCAGGCTTGAGCGCTCCTGACGGATGGCTCCAGGCTTGAGCGCTCCTGACGGATGGCTCCAGGCTTGAGCGCTCCTGACGGATGGCTCCAGGCTTGAGCGCTCCTGACGGATGGCTCCAGGCTTGAGCGCTCCTGACGGATGGCTCCAGGCTTGAGCGCTCCTGACGGATGGCTCCAGGCTTGAGCGCTCCTGACGGATGGCTCCAGGCTTGAGCGCTCCTGACGGATGGCTCCAGGCTTGAGCGCTCCTGACGGATGGCTCCAGGCTTGAGCGCTCCTGACGGATGGCTCCAGGCTTGAGCGCTCCTGACGGATGGCTCCAGGCTTGAGCGCTCCTGACGGATGGCTCCAGGCTTGAGCGCTCCTGACGGATGGCTCCAGGCTTGAGCGCTCCTGACGGATGGCTCCAGGCTTGAGCGCTCCTGACGGATGGCTCCAGGCTTGAGCGCTCCTGACGGATGGCTCCAGGCTTGAGCGCTCCTGACGGATGGCTCCAGGCTTGAGCGCTCCTGACGGATGGCTCCAGGCTTGAGCGCTCCTGACGGATGGCTCCAGGCTTGAGCGCTCCTGACGGATGGCTCCAGGCTTGAGCGCTCCTGACGGATGGCTCCAGGCTTGAGCGCTCCTGACGGATGGCTCCAGGCTTGAGCGCTCCTGACGGATGGCTCCAGGCTTGAGCGCTCCTGACGGATGGCTCCAGGCTTGAGCGCTCCTGACGGATGGCTCCAGGCTTGAGCGCTCCTGACGGATGGCTCCAGGCTTGAGCGCTCCTGACGGATGGCTCCAGGCTTGAGCGCTCCTGACGGATGGCTCCAGGCTTGAGCGCTCCTGACGGATGGCTCCAGGCTTGAGCGCTCCTGACGGATGGCTCCAGGCTTGAGCGCTCCTGACGGATGGCTCCAGGCTTGAGCGCTCCTGACGAATGGCTCCAGGCTTGAGCCTTGTAGGGAGATTAGGAACCAGGCAATATGACAAGTTTCTGTAGACCCTGCCTTTGATGTAGTTGCATGTTAGGCCTTTGTTGTTTCCACTTGCAATCGATGATTGGATGCCTGTAATTCGCAATGTCAGTCAACTAGAAACAATACTGCAATACAGTGGCATCTACCTGTTTCCCCATGTCTTCCTATTTTCCCTTATCCCGCCTCTCTCCCTGCTTGCCCATGCCTCCCTGTTTCCCCATCTTTCCATGATTCACCGCGTCTCCCATTTTCCCCATATCCCCATGTTTCCGCCTGTATCGCTGTTTCACCATATCTCCATCCCTGTTCCCCATGCTTTCCTTTTTCCCCATGTCTCTGCGATTCACCATGTCTCTTTGTTTCCCCGTATCTCCTTGTTTCCCATGTCATTCACTGCTTCCCATGTCATTCACTGCTTCCCCATGTCATTCACTGCTTCCCCATGTCATTCACTGCTTCCCATGTCATTCGCTGCTTCCCATGTCATTCACTGCTTCCCCATGTCATTCACTGCTTCCCCATGTCATTCACTGCTTCCCCAGTCATTCACTGCTTCCCATGTCATTCACTGCTTCCCCATGTCATTCACTGCTTCCCCAGTCATTCACTGCTTCCCATGTCATTCACTGCTTCCCCATGTCATTCACTGCTTCCCATGTCATTCACTGCTTCCCATGTCATTCACTGCTTCCCCATGTCATTCACTGCTTCCCATGTCATTCACTGCTTCCCCATGTCATTCACTGCTTCCCATGTCATTCACTGCGTCCCATGTCTTTCACTGCTTCCCATGTCATTCACTGCTTCCCATGTCATTCACTGCTTCCCATGTCATTCACTGCTTCCCATGTCATTCACTGCTTCCCATGTCATTCACTGCTTCCCATGTCATTCACTGCTTCCCATGTCATTCACTGCTTCCCATGTCATTCACTGCTTTCCATGTCATTCACTGCTTCCCATGTCATTCACTGCTTCCCATGTCATTCACTGCTTCCCATGTCATTCACTGCTTCCCCTTGTCATTCACTGCTTCCCATGTCATTCACTGCTTCCCATGTCATTCACTGCTTCCCATGTCATTCACTGCTTCCCATGGCATTCACTGCTTCCCATGTCATTCACTGCTTCCCCATGTCATTCACTGCTTCCCATGTCATTCACTGCTTCCCCATGTCATTCACTGCTTCCCATGTCATTCACTGCGTCCCATGTCTTTCACTGCTTCCCATGTCATTCACTGCTTCCCATGTCATTCACTGCTTCCCATGTCATTCACTGCTTCCCATGTCATTCACTGCTTCCCATGTCATTCACTGCTTCCCCATGTCATTCACTGCTTCCCATGTCATTCACTGCTTCCCATGTCATTCACTGCTTCCCATGTCATTCACTGCTTCCCCATGTCATTCGCTGCTTCCCATGTCATTCACTGCTTCCCATGTCATTCACTGCTTCCCCATGTCATTCACTGCTTCCCCATGTCATTCACTGCTTCCCCTTGTCATTCACTGCTTCCCATGTCATTCACTGCTTCCCATGTCATTCACTGCTTCCCATGTCATTCACTGCTTCCCCATGTCATTCACTGCTTCCCATGTCATTCACTGCTTCCCCATGTCATTCACTGCTTCCCCATGTCATTCACTGCTTCCCCTGTCATTCACTGCTTCCCCATGTCATTCACTGCTTCCCATGTCATTCACTGCTTTCCATGTCATTCACTGCTTCCCCATGTCATTCACTGCTTCCCATGTCATTCACTGCTTCCCATGTCATTCACTGCTTCCCCATGTCATTCACTGCTTCCCCATGTCATTCACTGCTTCCCCTGTCATTCACTGCTTCCCCATGTCATTCACTGCTTCCCATGTCATTCACTGCTTCCCATGTCATTCACTGCTTCCCCATGTCATTCACTGCTTCCCCATGTCATTCACTGCTTCCCCTGTCATTCACTGCTTCCCCATGTCATTCACTGCTTCCCATGTCATTCACTGCTTCCCATGTCATTCACTGCTTCCCATGTCATTCACTGCTTTCCATGTCATTCACTGCTTCCCCATGTCATTCACTGCTTCCCATGTCATTCACTGCTTCCCCTGTCATTCACTGCTTCCCCATGTCATTCACTGCTTCCCATGTCTTTCACTGCTTCCCCATGTCATTCACTGCTTCCCATGTCATTCACTGCTTCCCATGTCATTCACTGCTTCCCATGTCATTCACTGCTTCCCATGTCATTCACTGCTTCTCATGTCTTTCACTGCTTCCCCATGTCATTCGCTGCTTCCCATGTCATTCACTGCTTCCCATGTCATTCACTGCTTCCCCATGTCATTCACTGCTTCCCATGTCATTCACTGCTTCCCCATGTCATTCACTGCTTCCCATGTCATTCACTGCTTCCCATGTCATTCACTGCTTCCCCATGTCATTCACTGCTTCCCCATGTCATTCACTGCTTCCCCATGTCATTCACTGCTTCCCATGTCATTCACTGCTTCCCATGTCATTCACTGCTTCCCCATGTCATTCACTGCTTCCCATGTCATTCACTGCTTCCCATGTCTTTCACTGCTTCCCCATGTCATTCACTGCTTCCCCAATGTCATTCACTGCTTCCCATGTCATTCACTGCTTCCCCATGTCATTCACTGCTTCCCATGTCATTCACTGCTTCCCATGTCATTCACTGCTTCCCATGTCATTCACTGCTTCCCCATGTCATTCACTGCTTCCCATGTCATTCACTGCTTCCCATGTCTTTCACTGCTTCCCCATGTCATTCACTGCTTCCCCAATGTCATTCACTGCTTCCCATGTCATTCACTGCTTCCCCATGTCATTCACTGCTTCCCATGTCATTCACTGCTTCCCATGTCATTCACTGCTTCCCATGTCATTCACTGCTTCCCCATGTCATTCACTGCTTCCCCAATGTCATTCACTGCTTCCCATATCATTCACTGCTTCCCCAATGTCATTCACTGCTTCCCATGTCATTCACTGCTTCCCCATGTCATTCACTGCTTCCCATGTCATTCACTGCTTCCCCATGTCATTCACTGCTTCCCATGTCATTCACTGCTTCCCCATGTCATTCACTGCTTCCCATGTCATTCACTGCTTCCCATGTCATTCACTGCTTCCCATGTCATTCACTGCTTCCCCTTGTCATTCACTGCTTCCCCATGTCATTCACTGCTTCCCATGTCATTCACTGCTTCCCCAATGTCATTCACTGCTTCCCATGTCATTCACTGCTTCCCCATGTCATTCACTGCTTCCCATGTCATTCACTGCTTCCCCATGTCATTCACTGCTTCCCATGTCATTCACTGCTTCCCCATGTCATTCACTGCTTCCCATGTCATTCACTGCTTCCCATGTCATTCACTGCTTCCCATGTCATTCACTGCTTCCCCATGTCATTCACTGCTTCCCATGTCATTCACTGCTTCCCCATGTCATTCACTGCTTCCCCAGTCATTCACTGCTTCCCATGTCATTCACTGCTTCCCATATCATTCACTGCTTCCCCATGTCATTCACTGCTTCCCCATGTCGTTCACTGCTTCCCATGTCATTCACTGCTTCCCCATGTCATTCACTGCTTCCCATGTCATTCACTGCTTCCCATGTCATTCACTGCTTCCCCAGTCATTCACTGCTTCCCCATGTCATTCACTGCTTCCCATGTCATTCACTGCTTCCCCATGTCATTCACTGCTTCCCCATGTCATTCACTGCTTCCCATGTCATTCACTGCTTCCCATGTCATTCACTGCTTCCCATGTCATTCACTGCTTCCCATGTCATTCACTGCTTCCCCATGTCATTCACTGCTTTCCATGTCATTCACTGCTTCCCCATGTCATTCACTGCTTCCCATGTCATTCACTGCTTCCCATGTCATTCACTGCTTCCCATGTCATTCACTGCTTCCCATGTCATTCACTGCTTCCCCATGTCATTCACTGCTTCCCATGTCATTCACTGCTTCCCCATGTCATTCACTGCTTCCCATGTCATTCACTGCTTCCCCATGTCATTCACTGCTTCCCATGTCATTCACTGCTTCCCCATGTCTTTCATTGTTTCCCATGCATCCCTATTTCACCGTGTCTCCCTGTTTCCCAACCCTCCTTGGTTCCCCTTTCTGACATTTTCACATACATCCTTGTTACCCCATGTCCCCTTCTTTTACCTTGTCTCCCTGTCACACCTTCTTTCTCCATACCTTACTCTTTCACCTTGTGTCCCTGTTTCACCATACTTCCTTGTCTCCTTAATTCCACATCTCTCCCTGTTTCCTCATGCCATGCCACCCTGTTTCCCCATGACTCCCCCTTTCCCCATCTCCCTGATTCCACCAGGTCTCACCTTTTCCACGAAAATCCCTGTCTCCTCATGTCCCCTTGTTTCCCCATAGCATTTCTTGTTTACCCATGCTTCATGGTTTCCCCATGCCTCCCTACTTCACCGCGACTCCCTGTTTTCCCGTGCCTATACATCATTGTTTCCCCATATCTCCTAGTTTCCGCATATCTCCCTGTTTCATTACTCCTATTTTCCCAGGTCCCTCCCTGTTTCACCTTGCCTCACCGTTTCACCATGTCTCCCATGTTTCCCCACGTCCCCTTGTTTCCCCATGTCCCCTTGTTTCCCCACGTCCCCTTGTTTCCCCATGTCCCCTTGTTTCCCCACGTCCCCTTGTTTCCCCACGTCCCCTTGTTTCCCCACGTCCCCTTGTTTCCCCATGTCCCCTTCTTTCCTCGTGTCTCCCTGTTTCATCGTTCTTCCCTGATTCTCCGTGTCTCACCTTTTCCCACGCCTTCCTGTTTTACCATGTCTTCCTCTTTCCCCATGTCTCCCTTCTTCCCCATGTATCCATGTCTCCCCATAACTCCATGTTTCCTCATGCCTCCCCATTTCTTCATGTTTTCCAACATCTCTGTGTTTCCCTATTCTTCTCTGTGTCTTTGTGTCTCACAGGTTCACCATGCCTCCCTTTATCCCCATGTTTCCCCTTTTCCCATGCTTCCTGTCATGGTTCCCTTTTTTTTTTTTTTTCCCTTTTCCCCTGCTTTACAATTACTCCTTGTTTCACCATGTCTCTAGCTTTAAGCCTTTGCCACCCAGTTCCCCCATGCCCCACTGTTTTTCCATGTCTTACTGTTTCACTATACCGCTAAGATTCCCCATGCATCCCTTCTTCACAATACCTTCTTGTTTCCCCATGCTTCCCTGCTTCCCCATATCCCCTTGTTTCCACATATCTTCCTGATTCCCTGTTTTCCCATATCCCCCTGGTTCCCCATGTCGCCCCATGTCGCCCCATGTCGCCCCATGTCGCCCCATATCACCCCGTGTCGCCCCATGTCGCCCCATGTTCTCCATATCGCTCCATGTTCCCCATGTTCACCATAGAGGGTGTTGCCGGAAACCCCAAACCTGAGATGCTTATCCCCTTGCAGGAAAACCTAGGGAAACAAGAATAAACTGGGTAATAAGGAGACATCGTGAAACCTCCTTCCTCTTCTCTTCCCATCTCCCTCGGCTCCACATTTTCCCCGTTCGCCTCTCTTTCCACATGTTCCCCGGTTTCCCCAACTTTCCCTTTTCCCCCATTTCTCTATCGCTCCCCATGTTTCCCCTTGTCTCCCATTTTCAACAACTTCCTTAATTCCCCATTCTTCTCTTCTTCTTCATGCCTCCCTGTTTCCTTCCCCATGTCTCCCAATCTCCCCAAGATTTTCCATTTCCCCTCGTACTGTAAGATTCACCAGTTCGAACACCTCCGTGATTTTCTGAAAATTTCCGCACGCTGCTCCTGAACAAAATGTATCACGATAAGTGTTCAACATACACCTTCACAGAATAGAACAGACTCAATAAAAAGCCCCGTTATGGCTGAAATCATGATGAGAAGTTCAAAATTTAGAATGGCACGAAAAACGGGTAAGCTCACGCATTTTCTTGAGTTTTGTCTGTAGGAAGCAACAAGTAAGGTATGAGATGAAAGATTTCAGGTTGTGCTCTATCTATTGACAGTTTGCACAGAATCTATAACATAAAACCACGACGTCTATATCAGAATCTGACAGTACGATCATATTCCGAGTGAAGAACTGTAAGGGGGCCTTAGCTTGGCGGGAACCTTGGTATGGTTGACTGGCTTCGGATTAGTTCGCTCAAGGTTCAGAACCTCAAAGTTCGGGACAGCCTCAACTGGGGGGAATTCGCTCCGAGCCTCTGTGCTCAAACTTGGGGACCGCCCAACCAAACCACCGCCTCTGTAAGGAAAAACCCTTTTCCTTACAGGGGTTTACTCAACCGCGTACAACCCCAACTTTCGGAAGTGCACGTTCGGCCACTTTGCTTGCTGCCGAAGCAACCTCGCGTCGCCTTCGGCCTTTCCTTTGCCCAACCTGCACCCAACCTCGTGTTCCCGAGGTTCCCGCCTAGCTAGATTGGCCCACTATATTAGCGCGTGCCTTCATTGTATTGTCAGTTCATTGAGTCACATCTTCGTTATTCGTTATTCCGCGCACTCTCTTTTTACAACTCATAACAGCCTCTTCGAACCGGAACAGCAGCGCAAATAGGGTTACAGGAGCGCACCAACACCAGCGACAACCTCGGGTGCGGGCAGCCTCGCGAAATTGGCTTGGGCACAAGTCGCACAACCGCTCGAAACCCTACCAAACCGCTATAGAGTGACCGCGAAATCTTAGGGTGTCAGAAAAGAGTTCAATTGCTGCTCGAAACCTTACCCAACCGCCCTTTAGTGACCGCAACTGCTCTGCATCCGAATAACCTGGAGCCTTGAAAGCTCCTCGCGACGCAACACCCGCCTTTCCGTGGCTGCGGTGTTCCGCTTTTCCCTCCCCAAGCCTCGAGTCTGTCTCTCTCCGCATCTCGCTGCATCTCCCCTCTCGCGTGACCAGCAGCAGATCTGCCAACACCAGCCGCTAATCTGCCTTCAAAACCACCACGCAAACATCGTTTCACTCAAAGCTCCTTTCAACTCTTGTTGCTACTACCCTCCTGGTCGTGGTTGTTCTGTTGATTGCCTCATCCTTCCAGTTCGAAATGGCCTCAGACTACCCTTCGTTTGTTTCCGCGCTTAGCTTTTGGAAGCACAGCGAGAAACAGGCAAAATCGTGCCTGCAGCGTTCGAGTTCCAACAGCAGCACGAATCCCATTCTCCCACCCATCGCTGCAGCGCCACTGCTGCTAGAGCTGCCAGCGGATGCTGCAGCTTCGGATGCTGCAGCCTTGTATGTTGCAGCTTTGGATGTTGCCGCTTCGATTGCTACAGCTTTGGACGCTGATGTCCCTGATGCTGCGCCTTCAAATGCTGCGGGAGCGTCTCATGTTGAAGCATCGCATGCCGAAGCGGCCGATGCTGCACCTTCGATTGCTGAACCATCCGATCCTGCAGCTGCGGAAGCGAAACTGTCACATCCTGCAGCGCAGGATGCGGAAGCCTTGAATCGCAGATTGTCGGATGATGCAGGCGCTTGTAACGCTGTAGCATCACATGCCGCAGCATCAGACCCTCTCATTTCAGCTTGCGCCAAGTCAGTAAGTGCAGTCGTACCGTCGCGCATCCCGAAACCGAGCAAGGGAGCAGCGATCAGGAGGCGAGTGGAGGGAACGACACTGATTCCCAGGCCTAAATGTGCCGCACCGCGCAGGGAGGTGAGGGGAGTGGAAGTTGAAGCTGCAGGCAAGCGGCCTCGCAGGACGTCCAAGGCCATGCCGGCTGCAATCCCGCGCCGGCCATGGCGCCCTTGACTGCTGCACGCATAAAAATAAAATTAAAAAAAAAAGGCAAAAAAAAGCCTATCGCTGAAATGCTTGAAAATAAAAAATGATGAACATGGAGGTTGAAAAGAGGAAAGCTTGGAGTATGAGATGGAGGGATGGCATGAAAGTCATGTGAAAGGCACAGCACAGCTACACGCCGAGAGCACCGACTGGGGGATGGGTGTGGTGTGGATGGGGAACACGATGGCACTACCCTTTTTTGCGCCCTGCTTCACAGCAGGGTGTTTGTGGGAGTGTGGTGGGTGGTTGATGGCTGGAGGGGGTGAGGGAAAGCTGCTGTGCTGCTGTGCCTTCAATGACACCTCCAGGCTTGAGCGCTCCTGACGGATGGCTCCTAGCTTGAGCGCTCCTGACGGATGGCTCTAGGCTTGAGCGCTCCTGACGGATGGCTCCAGGCTTGAGCGCTCCTGACGGATGGCTCCAGGCTTGAGCGCTCCTGACGGATGGCTCCAGGCTTGAGCGCTCCTGACGGATGGCTCCAGGCTTGAGCGCTCCTGACGGATGGCTCCAGGCTTGAGCGCTCCTGACGGATGGCTCCAGGCTTGAGCGCTCCTGACGGATGGCTCCAGGCTTGAGCGCTCCTGACGGATGGCTCCAGGCTTGAGCGCTCCTGACGGATGGCTCCAGGCTTGAGCGCTCCTGACGGATGGCTCCAGGCTTGAGCGCTCCTGACGGATGGCTCCAGGCTTGAGCGCTCCTGACGGATGGCTCCAGGCTTGAGCGCTCCTGACGGATGGCTCCAGGCTTGAGCGCTCCTGACGGATGGCTCCAGGCTTGAGCGCTCCTGACGGATGGCTCCAGGCTTGAGCGCTCCTGACGGATGGCTCCAGGCTTGAGCGCTCCTGACGGATGGCTCCAGGCTTGAGCGCTCCTGACGGATGGCTCCAGGCTTGAGCGCTCCTGACGGATGGCTCCAGGCTTGAGCGCTCCTGACGGATGGCTCCAGGCTTGAGCGCTCCTGACGGATGGCTCCAGGCTTGAGCGCTCCTGACGGATGGCTCCAGGCTTGAGCGCTCCTGACGGATGGCTCCAGGCTTGAGCGCTCCTGACGGATGGCTCCAGGCTTGAGCGCTCCTGACGGATGGCTCCAGGCTTGAGCGCTCCTGACGGATGGCTCCAGGCTTGAGCGCTCCTGACGGATGGCTCCAGGCTTGAGCGCTCCTGACGGATGGCTCCAGGCTTGAGCGCTCCTGACGGATGGCTCCAGGCTTGAGCGCTCCTGACGGATGGCTCCAGGCTTGAGCGCTCCTGACGGATGGCTCCAGGCTTGAGCGCTCCTGACGGATGGCTCCAGGCTTGAGCGCTCCTGACGGATGGCTCCAGGCTTGAGCGCTCCTGACGGATGGCTCCAGGCTTGAGCGCTCCTGACGGATGGCTCCAGGCTTGAGCGCTCCTGACGGATGGCTCCAGGCTTGAGCGCTCCTGACGGATGGCTCCAGGCTTGAGCGCTCCTGACGGATGGCCCCAAATATCCCCGTTTCGTCGTTTCCCCATGCCTCACGGTTTCCCCATGCCTCACGGTTTCCCCATGCCTTCCTATTTAACCGTGTCTCCCTGTTTTCCCATGCCTCACTGTTTTCCCATGTCTCTCTGTTTCATCATGTCTCCACGACTTCCTTTTTTTATCATTCCTCCCTCTTTTCACATGTCCCCCTGTTTCCCTGTTTCCCCATGCCTCCCTGTTTTCCCATGCCTCCCTGTTTCCCCATGTCTCCCTGTTTCCTCATGGCTTTCCCACTATGCAACCTTATCTCACCATGTATCTCTGTTTCTTTATGCCACTCTCCCCATGTCTTCCCTATTCTTCATCTCCCTGATTCCACATCTTTCCCTGTTTCACCAAGTACTGGTATCCCGTTTTCTCATGTCCCCCTGTTTCTCCATGTCACTCCTTGGTTCCTCATGCCTCCCTGTTTACCCATATCACTCCATGTTTTCCCATGCCTCAATGTTTCCCTATGTCTCTCATTGTCACTAAACATCCTTGTTTCCCCAAGTCCCCTCGTATCCCCATGTCTCCTTGTTTCCCCATATCTCCCTGTCTCACCATACTTGTTTGCCCTTGCTTCCCTTATTTCCCATGTCTCCCTTTTTCCCATGCCGTCCTGTTTCACCGTGTCTCCTTTCCTCTCTCACTTCACTGCCTTCCCTTCCCTAATAGCTCATGTCCCGCTATCCCTGGTACTTGTCAGCACACTAGCATCCCTGTCACCCACCTTTTAGCTCAAAGAGTAGCATTGGAACTGCGATCTGTAGTCTAAAAATTTTCGTAATATTACATACGTCAGTGATCCAAAATGAATCGACCGCCAATACTGCTGTACTGCCCCGTTCAGAGCATTTTGAGACGATATTTCGGGCTTCATTGGCACACAAAGCACAGGTCTGCGTGGGTGTATGCATTTCTTCATGCCACATGCTTCGCCAAGTCACTCGGCCTATATCACTCGGCCTATACAAAAAAAAAAAAAAAAAAATCGCTGAAATTCTGCGTGCATGCACGGGATGCAGAGTAGCTTGCAAATCTTCCCAGCCTAGGCCAGTCCAGCAGCAGGGTGGCTGGCAGGAAGGGCGGGGTGGAGCATCAAGGAGGCGGGCCGTCAAGGGCGGGTGGCGGGGTGGGCGAGGAGGAAGTCGGAGACAGAGAGGAAGAGGTGCGACCCCTGCTGCACCGCCCACTGCCCCACTCCCTCCACCGCCACTTGCACCTGCGCACGCATGCAGAGAGGGAGTGGTGGTGGTCGGCATGAGCGACGGCATTCCATGCAGGAAGGGTGAAACGTGAAAGCACACAAGCTGCAGCAAGGCTGGACACATGCATTTCTTACTCTCCCAACACACAGTGGTCGCTCACATCACACTTGAGTTCACATAAACTGCACGGCATGGCTATGGGTGCTCACCTTGCCGCCTGCAGCCGCAATCTCCGCCTTGAGCTTGGTGGGGTCGCGCGCCATGAGCGCCACCTGCACTGCCGTGGCTGCCGCTGCATCGCCTGGTGGGGTCGCAGGGAGGAGGGGTGCACAGAGGGCGATGCATGCAGGGAAGAGGTGGTTGACGGATGCATGCATGCGGCAGAACCACCTTCAGTGCTGCACTTAGCTCCACGCTGACTCGAACATGTGTGCATAGGTGGAAGGCATGCAGAGGGGTGGATGGACAAGAACAAATTAAGCAACACACCAGAAGGTGAGATTGCGAAGAGTGGTTTGCAGGTACATGGAATGAAAGTGCACATGTGTCAATGGCATGGTGGTGAGATGGCATGGTGGTGAGATGGCATGGTGGTGAGATGGCATGGTGGTGAGATGGCATGGTGGTGAGATGGCATGGTGGTGAGATGGCATGGTGGTGAGATGGCATGGTGGTGAGATGGCATGGTGGTGAGATGGCATGGTGGTGAGATGGCATGGTGGTGAGATGGCATGGTGGTGAGATGGCATGGTGGTGAGATGGCATGGTGGTGATATGGCATGGTGGTGAGATGGCATGGTGGTGAGATGGCATGGTGGTGAGATGGCATGGTGGTGAGATGGCATGGTGGTGAGATGGCATGGTGGTGAGATGGCATGGTGGTGAGATGGCATGGTGGTGAGATGGCATGGTGGTGAGATGGCATGGTGGCACGGGATGGTGGTGTGACAGCAAGGAGGTGAGGCAGTGAAGGTGCATGTGCAGTGCACGCAGTGGACAGAAGCAGGGCAGCACAGCACACATTGCAGGGAGGCCAGGTTGCCATCTAGAGCGCCCACCATTGCAGAGGTCAGCAGCGAGGGACGGCGAGAAGCAGAGAGCGGGGCGAGTGAGCGTGAGCGTGAAGGTGGCCCCCGCCACCCCGCTGTACCGCTCCGATGCCAGCACCACCTGCTCGCCCCGGGAGGGGGGAAATGGGAAGGGGGAGAGTTGGTATGTGCTAAGTCCACAGGCATGCAGTGCGTACAGCATTTTAAGAGTGTTGCGTACAGCATAGAAACAAGGAAACTGCTGCATGGGAGGGGCACATACGGCATGGGAGGGGTACATACGGCATGGGGGGGGCACATACGGCATGGGAGGGGCACATACGGCATGGGAGGAGCACATACGGCATGGGAGGGGCAGTAGACGGCAGAGAGTAGCGGCGCGCCCAATGCTTCCCGAATGTACTCCGCCTGGTGCAGGGGTGGTGGGGACAGGGCGGATGGGAGGGCATCGCGGTGGAGCAAAGAAAAGTGAGCGGAGCTGATGGGGAGAACTCAGTGAAAGCGATGGATGGGAGAAAGGGGAAGAGAGGAGAGGATGGGAAGAACACAGAGATAGGAGGCGATCACAACGAATGCATAATAGAAACGGTATAGAGAGGGGCACTTGCGGCTCGTGGCAGAAGAGGCAGCACCTGAGCCGCCAGAATGCGCTGCAGCGCCGACTCCTCAGCACCGTCACCGCCCTCCTTGCCATTCTCCCCGTGTGCGCCGTCAGCCCCATCGCCCCCATGCACGTGAATGAACGCCTCCACGGCATCTGACGGCTCCAGCCCTGCCCGCTTGCGCAGCTTCTGCACCCTGTTCACCACCTGGTGGGGAGTACGGCGACAGTGGGGCAGCACAGGGGGCGGACACAAGAGGGTTGTCGACGAGGGAGGGGGGTGGTGGGAGCTCAGCACGTTGGGGGGATGGGAGCGTTGAGAAGATGTGGTTTGGGTTGGTGTGGTGAGGCGTGGCGGCACGGAGATGGTGGCGACAAGGGCTTGGAGGCTGACGTAAGCCAGAGTGGACGCAGCCACTACACATCCAGACCCAGTGCCTGCGTGAGTGAATAGACGCACAAGTGAGAGGCGAGGCGAGAATGAAGAAGGGAGGAGGGAGAAGTGTGCAGAGGAGCAACACAGAGCACAACGAGCAGCATTTGCAGGGTTGTGGGACTAGGCGGCATGACAGACCACTCCCCTTCCCCCCGTCATATATCACTCGCCTCACCTCGCGCGCAGCACCGGCATGGAGAAGCGCGGTGCCAGCTCACAGGTGGAGCACCACGAGAACAACGAGCACCACGAGAACAACGAGCACCACGAGAACAACGAGCACCACGAGAACAACGAGCACCACGAGAACAACGAGCACCACGAGAACAACGAGCACCACGAGGACAACGAGCACCACGAGAACAACGAGCACCACGAGAACAACGAGCACCACGAGAACAACGAGCGCCACGAGAACAACGAGCACCACGAGAACAACGAGCAGCACGAGAACAACGAGCAGCACGAGAACAACGAGCACCACGAGAACAACGAGCAGCACGAGAACAACGAGCAGCACGAGAACAACGAGCAGCACGAGAACAACGAGCACCACGAGAACAACGAGCAGCACGAGAACAACGAGCAGCACGAGAACAACGAGCAGCACGAGAACAACGAGCACCACGAGAACAACGAGCACCACGAGAACAACGAGCACCACGAGAACAACGAGCACCACGAGAACAACGAGCACCACGAGAACAACGAGCACCACGAGAACAACGAGCACCACGAGAACAACGAGCACCACGAGAACAACGAGCACCACGAGAACAACGAGCACCACGAGAACAACGAGCACCACGAGAACAACGAGCACCACGAGAACAACGAGCACCACGAGAACAACGAGCACAACGAGAACAACGAGCACCACGAGAACAACGAGCGCCACGAGAACAACGAGCGCCACGAGAACAACGAGCGCCACGAGAACAACGAGCAGCACGAGAACAACGAGCAGCACGAGAACAACGAGCAGCACGAGAACAACGAGCAGCACGAGAACAACGAGCACCACGAGAACAACGAGCAGCACGAGAACAACGAGCACCACGAGAACAACGAGCACCACGAGAACAACGAGCAGCACGAGAACAACGAGCACCACGAGAACAACGAGCACCACGAGAACAACGAGCACCACGAGAACAACGAGCACCACGAGAACAACGAGCAGCACGAGAACAACGAGCACCACGAGAACAACGAGCACCACGAGAACAACGAGCAGCACGAGAACAACGAGCACCACGAGAACAACGAGCACCACGAGAACAACGAGCACCACGAGAACAACGAGCACCACGATAACAACGAGCACCACGAGAACAACGAGCACCACGAGAACAACGAGCACAACGAGAACAACGAGCACCACGAGAACAACGAGCACCACGAGAACAACGAGCACCACGAGAACAACGAGCACCACGAGAACAACGAGCACCACGAGAACAACGAGCAGCACGAGAACAACGAGCACCACGAGAACAACGAGCAGCACGAGAACAACGAGCAGCACGAGAACAACGAGCAGCACGAGAACAACGAGCAGCACGAGAACAACGAGCACCACGAGAACAACGAGCACCACGAGAACAACGAGCACCACGAGAACAACGAGCACCACGAGAACAACGAGCACCACGAGAACAACGAGCACCACGAGAACAACGAGCACCACGAGAACAACGAGCACCACGAGGAC